ACAGCTGTTTCGTGATGCATAGCAGTTGGGCTGAGCGCACGCCTCCCTGACGGTTTATGTAAACTGCTGTCACTTTGTTGTCTGTGTGGATCAGAACATGCTGATCCCGCAGCAGGGGGCAAAATGCTGAGTCACGTTTCAGACCGTGAAACATTCTAGCACATTTATGTGAAGCAACATGTGGTCCAGCCACTGTGCTCCCACTGCTTGGGACAGACACAGTCCTCCCAGCTTGACAGGAACGCGTCTGTGAAAACTGAGACGTGTGACGTAGGCCTGCTGATGGGAACTCCCTCTGACAGAATGAGGGGGTTTCCCCAGTGATTCAGATCAATTCTCACGGAGGGTGGAACAAAGATAATCCGCCTCTTCTGGCGCACAGGATCAATGCGCAGGCGGGCGAACTATATCTGAAGGCATCTGAAGTAGGCCCAGCGGAACCATGATGTGGGCCGCTGACATCGTCCCAGGAGTCACATGACATGCAGAACTGTCACTATGCTGCAGGGTTTGACACGGTGGAGCAGAGCTGACAGAGCTTCGGCTCTCAGCTGTGATAAACGGGCTGTCATTGTGGTTGAGTTTATCTCCACGTCTAGATAAACAATCATTTGGGACTGACGAACAAAACTTTTTCCCAGTAGAAAACCCCAGGTGTAACACTAGCGTTTTGGTCTGTGCGACTGCTTCCTATCTGGACCGAGCTAATAAAAGCAGATCGTCCAGATAAAAATAATTCTCATTCCTGCCATGTGTAAAGACTGCAGAGCCGTCTCCACGCATTTCGAGAACGTGCGTGGGGTGTTTCAGAAAGATGGAAATGTGAAAATATGCGCCCTTCAGATCTATGGAGGTGAACCAGTCATTCTGGTGAAGTTCTCCAGCAGCTGTTTGATTGTCAGCATGTGAAATTGTCTCTCCATGATCGAATTATTGAACATGAACAGGTCAAGAATTGTTCTCATCCCTCTGGGTTTTTTTAGAACCAGGAAGTAGTAGGAGGAAAAAAAAAACTGTATTTTCCTCTCCGTTGGAAACTCTGGAAATCACGTTTTTCCGACAGAAAAATGCTGAATGTGTGCCTCTGTGCTGAGTCTAGGCTGCAGTCTCACGTTAGAGCTGAGGTGAGCCGGCGCGCACTGAGAGGAGGCGTGAGCGCTTTCTGAGTGAAACGCCGTTTCGGTGGAGGCTGAAGCTGTCGTGGAGAAACACGTTTACTCCCGCTGCGCGGTGAGTGGGCAGAAAACAGCAGAAGATAAAAACAGGCTCTGGCTGAGAACGAGGGATTTTACTGGGCTCGGTCTGATGAAAAAACATAATTTTTAGCTAACGTGGCAGACGAGTGTTTGTGATATTTACCTAACTGCAGTGCCATTTAAAACGCTGTTTAGAAGTTACCGGCTTGTTCTGTGTGGGGAATGTGTGAAGAGAGGCAGCTGTGAGATCAGTTGATCTGACAGTCAGGCTGGAATCAGATGAAACTTTACTTTCAGAGATGTTTCTGTTTTATTTCAAAACATACATCGTCAAAAAACACACATTCCCCTCAAGGAGCTGTTCCCTGGTGGAGGGGGCCGACGGAGGAGCAGAGCGTGAATTCATTGCCACAGCTGTGGAGCTCCTCTGCTGCTGTTTCTGGCCAAGGCGGTCCCTCCAGCGGTTGGAGGGGCGGGAGGAGGACTGTGACGTCACCAGATTGTGTACAGTCTCTGAGACCTCCTCGGACCTCTTGTGATTTCTCAAGGATGGTCTTGAAGTTGGCCCCGAACAACGCCTCTGGGGTGATGGGGCCCTCCAGCAGGTCTTTCTGCAGCCTCTCAGACAGGGATAGCGAGAGGCAGAGCCAAGTGGTCCTCTGGATCATGGTCATTCAGGCAGTGATGTGGGACAGGCAGACCACAGAGGTGGCGCACATGTTTAAGATGACATCAGCAGCTTTACAGAGAGAGCTCTTTGTTTCCTCCAGCAGGTCTACTTCCTCCAGCCTCTTAGAGATGCTGTAGGCCAGCAGGGCGACGTTTTTGTTTGCCGCGGCCGTCTAGAATGAGCACTGGTGAGCTTGGTTGGAGATCTTTGTCACCATCTGGTCATGCTTCCTTGGAGGGACAGGTTGCTGGTCCATCCTGGGAGCTTTTACCCCAAGCGCCTCTGCCAGGCTTGGCTTCGGAGGGGAACCAAGGGAAAAACACAGATCGGTAAAACCCTCCACTCTGGAGATGGAGGCGAAGGTAGAGACGGATGTCTTCAGCTTGCCAGGCCCAGCTACAGCCTTGTTCCAGTGTGACGTCACAGCTGGACAGCGAGGCCAGATGGGATCAGGGTGACGAGCCGGGGCGGAGCCAAACCTTCCTGCCAGATCATCTGATCAAGGCGGAGGAAGGCGAGGGACGGAAAGTCCCTTTGTGTTAGCAGCCTCCTGGATTATTCTGGGCAGCTCTGAGAGGAGGGCGCCGTCGGCTGGGAGCGGTGTGGTTGCTGACGTGGGAAGACCCGAGGTGGCTGAGCATCCGCTAGGCTGCTCTTCTTTCGTCACTACGCTCTCCAGGAGGGAAGGGGCAGCAAGGTTGTTTCCAGCATCGCCTTTCTCGTAGGAATCATTCAATTCACTGCGTGACTCTGCGTCAAAGAAAGACGGTGGCGTCGTCCCACGCATAGCATCCCGCCATGGAAAAACACTCAGCGGAGCTGCTGCCCGCATTGCCTTTTTCGAGAGAATCATCTGATTCACTGCGAGGAAAAAAAAACGTTAGAAAAGGTGATTGCGTCGTCCAGCGGGTAGCGGCCCGCCACGGAAAAACACTCAACGGAGCTGCTGCCAACAACGTCTTTTTCGAGGGAATCATCCGATTCACCGCAAGTAAAAAATGTTAGAAAAGGCGATGGCGTCGTCCAGCGGGTAGCGGCCCGCCACGGAAAAACACTCCTCGGCACTTACCTTTAACAAGGCTGCTCGTCTCTGCTTCCCCTTGGGGAGGAAGAGCTCACAGGGACGGCAGGAGGTTGGCGTGGTGGAGACCCAGGCATCTTTAGCAAAAGTTGTGCCGGTCAAAGCTGAACATCTTTTCCTTCTTCGTTCTTCTAACAGTGCTAGCTAACTGTCTGAAGAAAAAATGGGAGCAGATTGCCCGTTCTTACCGTAATTCATATGGACCGGGGGTGGGGCCCACACAGCCGGTGGGCGCGGACTAAAGTTTTCAGTGTTGCGCTGCACGCGAATGGATAAACCCACTAGCGATAGCCTTAATAGGCGAAGCCTATACGACATAGAACAGGTCTCTCTTGAAAATGAGTTCTCGTGGCTCAATGAGACTACCTGTATAAATAAAAGGGTAAATGAAAAAATATATTACTGAAATAAACTACTACTTACTACTTGTATTACCATTCCTACTTTGTGGTTTTTCACATATCGCCGGGCTTCAGGTTACGGCTCCCCCGCGATAAACGAGGGACTACTGTATTATTGTTAAAAGTAGTTAATTACTTTTTCTTAGTTTGCATACACATGCAGTGTTTTCCCTAGTTTACTTGCCTTTGTTGGCAGGGAGCTCATATCTTCTGTGATTTTTGTCGACGGGACACATCTGTGTTGCACATGCTGTTTGAGGGTGGTGGACACGACTTAGCGTAAGGGAAATGGAGCACTACCTCTGTAGCTTTTTAGCTAGCGTGTCTGTATTGCGTGCCGCTAGCTTAGCGCTATGTCAGTGCGGGCAGTTGTCAGGGCCTGGGGATTTGGTAGGCAGGGCGCTCGGTTCTTTTGGCAGGGCGGGGCGCCCTGCTTGTATATTGGTAGGGGAAATACTGTGGTTACATTAACCCTTTACCTGACCTCACTAATACTACAAGTTGTTCTGTTCTGCAGCGGATATTAAGGTGTCCACTTTAATACTTAAAGTGTTTATATATATATATATGTGTGTGTGTATATATATATATTTTTTTTTCTCATATCTTTAATACTTTAATTGACTTCTGTTAACGTTCCAGGCTCAGTCATTTCAAAACTTTTTCTTCCTTCATTGTTGCATACATCTTGCACAACTCAACTGGAAAAAATAAGCTGTTGTAAGGAAAATATAAAAACAATACAAATGTGGCAGGTTGGTTACATGACTGCGCACTCTAAACCAATAATTAGTTGAAGCACCTTTTGATTATATTATAGCCTTCAGTTTTTCTGAGACTGAAGGTTGGGGGGAATTTATGCAGCTATCTTATTGCACATTAAAGTTTTTCTATTTTTTTTCTTGCAACAGATTTTTTTAATTGTGAAATTGTACAGGGCATGCGTAAAAGTGGAAAATGTTTTGAAAGGATTTATTGTATAATTTTTAGGGATGCACCAATCCACTTTTTTCCCACTTCTGATCCGATACCAATACCTGCGGTTTCGTATTCGCCTATACCGATCCGATGCCAATCTGATACAGAAAAACAGTGCTGAATTAACAAAAATGGCTAAATCATGTCATCTGGATCCATTTCTGAAACTGGTCCAGATGACATGGTTTAGCCATTTTTGTTGTCTACCTGGATGATTGAGCTTACAAACCCAGTGCTGAATTAACTTAAAACATTTGTTTTTTAAAACGCAGACATGAATGTACTGAATTACAAATTTATTGAAAACTCTGCACCATAACAGCACACTTAAACACACCAAGAGCTTTACAAGCTTGGTCAAACATGTAAAAACAACACAACTTTAATTTGTTCAGTCAGTTCACTAGCGTGTGACGTCACTCAGAACACAAAGCATAGAATTAGAGTGAATAGATCTGCCCAGTCATGGATCTGTCACATTGTCACTGATACCCCATCCAGATTTATTTATTTATTTATTTGTTTGTTTGTTTGTTTGTTTGTACCAATACTGATATTGGATTGGTGCATCTCTAATTTACATCACACAGACTTGGCATTTTAACAGGAACATTTAGACTTTTTAATATCTTGTGGGTTGGAAGCACCAATTTGCCCTCTCACTTTTTTTTCAGGCATTAAACCTTTCCAGTGTGATCGCTGTGGGAAAAAGTTCACACGGGCGTACTCCCTAAAGATGCATCGGCTGAAGCACGAAGGTAAACGCTGTTTCCGGTGCCAGATTTGTAGCGCCACATTCACGTCCTTCGGTGAATATAAGCATCACATGAGGGTCTCCCGACACATAATCCGCAAGCCGCGGATTTATGAGTGCAAAACATGCGGCGCCATGTTCACCAACTCTGGCAATTTAATTGTACACCTGAGGAGTCTGAACCATGAGGCATCCGAACTAGCAAACTACTTCCAGAGCAGGTGAGGAGTCTGGGGGTGCTGACCCCCATCATTTACTCAGATCTCACCTGGGTGAAAAAATAACTTCAGTTTACAGTGTAATACCTGAAGTTTAATGGAACATTGTCCTGACTTTGGTTGTGTAGAATTGTTATTGAGGTATTGAAGTATTTTATTGCATTTACATGGAAACTTTAATGTCTTGTTTAAAATCTTTATTAAACATTCCAGGAAGTAGGGTCATTTTCAGTTTTCATGATGACTGAGTAAGAAAGCCGGTCTGGTTTAGGGGCAAACTGAGTCACAAAATACTGAGCTGTGACATGAGATTTGGTTTTGTTTTCAAAACCGTAAACTAACTTTACTAAGAGTTATCTCATTCTCATCTTACCTAAAGCCAGTGGAGAAGCACACCTGTCACAACTGTATTTCCTCTACTGTACCAAACCCTGCACACAGTTTACACACATGCACACAAACACACAAGTTTCAGTTTTTCAGAGGTCTAACACAACACCCAGAAATGGATAAGTAACAAACTGACAACACAACTACATTCTGTTGATGTTTTTATACACATAGCTCATAAAACTAATGGAGCAGTAAGAATTGATCTTAGCACCGAGCAGACACTTTGTCCCATACAAAGAGAGTCATGGCTGGCTGGATGAGAGGGTGAAGGTACCAACTAACCAGAACTGCAGACGTCCAAAGTGTGGAAGAATGATGTGACCAGCACCGGTTGTAAATACCACTCTCTGCAACAGTGTATGGGGGTACTCAAAGTCCTCCACCACGCTAAGGTGGTGCTTCAGTGGAGGACTTCAGATTAGGGATGGGGCCGATCTGATCTGGTATGGGTATCAGCCTCTGATACCAGCATAATTTACGTATCGGATTTTTCCGTTCGAACCTGCAGAGATTTCCAATCCCTGATGCACGTTGGCTTCAAACTATGGAATGGATTTCCTGAACGGAGGCGTGTCTCACGAACCCAGAGTAATAAGACCTGCCTCACATTCAGGAAATCCATTTCATAGTTTGCAGCCAGCTACAACATGAGGACTGAGTTGGCAACACTGTGGCTAACGACTAACCAACTTTTCATCGAAACATGTCTGCTGTGTTGAAGTATTTTACACTAGAAACTAGGGGTGCGAATCTCTCAGTGTGGCGCGTTTATTCCGATTTTTTTGGTGTCACGATGCGATTCAAAATCAAATTTTCGATTCAGAAACGATTTTCGATTCACAAACGATTTTTCTATTGAAATGGTCATAAATTTTGTTTCAATTATGTAACTGACAAGCTGAAAATAATAAACAATGTAAACAAATAGAATATTTTTTTAAAACAATTTTATGTTCTTTACTGTATCAAATCTTTTTGCATCATTTTATATTTTTACCAAAAACAGGACAAACTGTAGGAGTGCATACAATTTTGTAACTTAAATTACCAGTATTAGGTTAGCTTAGCTGCCTAAATTTTTCTTTAAAAAATAATAAAATAAATAAAAATCTAAGAACAAATATTTCATCCATCCATCATCTTTACCCATTTTTTCCTTTACGAGTCACAAGGGTATCTGGTGCCCACATCCAGCTATCATTGTGTGAGAGGTGGGGGACACCTGGACAGGTCTCCAGTCCATCACAGACAAATAATTCAAAATATATAAATACAAAAGTAAACAGACTTCAGCTTACCATGGTATATTAACCTTTAACTCAACATAAAATACAGACTTCACAGTTATTTTTAACCATATTGCTCTATCATTTGTTATATTTTCAAAACTTAACCTAATATGAAATATACAGACTTCACAGTCTTAACCATATTAATTCATATTTAGTAAATATTTAACAAAATTTCAAAACCTGTGTAAACCTGCGCAAAAACTTCTGAACTGTAATAATTTAAAAACCATAAATTGTATCATTTAGAACTGGCTCCAGGCAATGTCTCATCTGGCCTTCTTCCACCTGTTAAAAAGACAAATTACATTGTTTGTTGTACAACTTCTCTAGATAAGTTTTAGTATAATACAAGAAAAACAGTTACCTTTGAGCTGCAGCTGCATCAGAGCTTCTCCCATTCGTTGTTTCATGGTGAAGTTGTGGTGCTGCTTTATCGCAAAAAAATAAAAAGCTATGTGAAGGAATAACTTACGTTGCTTCCATCATATTAAAAATAAACCTAAACCCCTCACCTTCCACTGAGCTGTTTGCTTGAAAATCCTTTGTGATATAGCAGGAGATGGAGAGGAAATCTTCGCAGCCTTTGGGGAATCAGCTGGAAGTTTGTTGCAGAGTTCGCTGGTCGGCTGCTTTCGCTTTCATCTTTCACGCATTTTGTCATATTTCCAAAATACTGTCCCGCAATTTTATTTTACACTTCTTGCAAACAACCGTGCTCTTGTTAAGCTCTGTCTTCCCCCGGAACATCGTAGTACCTGAAATGATGTTTAAAGACGAAAAAGCGGTTGAATCACGCTCTCCTCCATACTAGCAGGCTCCATTCAGACAAAGAGAGCTGGCTGGCTAACTAGCTTGCTGTACGGTGGCCTACACGGCCGAAATTCTACGGCGGCCGAGTGGGGAGTAAGAATTTAAAACGCATTTTAAAATCGATTTTTGGGCGTTTAGAAACGATTCAGAATCGCCAGGACTAAGAATCTAGATTCTTTAAAAAATCTATTTTTTTTTCTGCACCCCTACTAGAAACACCACAAAGCAAGACAGCAACGTGCAACGTCTGCAGAGCCTTAGCACTACATTAAACTGCGGTAGGGCTGGGCCATATCATATCATTCACGATAATACCGGTAAAAAAAAAGCTTGCCCGGGCAAAAAAATGATATCATAATATGCTAATTTCATGACGTAATACATCAGGGTGCCCCGCCCCCTTAACAGAACCGAGCGCGCCGAACGACCACACCGAACTGGGCACCCCCCCTCCACCTGTCGGCACTGGTGTGACTCTAATTAGCTGCACGCAATACTAGCTAGCTAAAAAGCTAAAAACAAACAACGCACTGCTCAGCTGTCTCGCTATCCAGCTCTAAACTGCAGGTACAGACAACTCAAATGTCTCTCCCTCCCTCCGCTCTAAGCTGCTACTTGTCTTATTTTTTCTCCCCACCCCGCTCTGAGCTGCCCGTGCGGGCTGCGTCTCAATAATCCAGGTAAGCATGAGCATGGACTTTTCAGTTTGACAAGACTGTCAACAAGGAAGAGGGCCGGCAATGGAGGAGGGGGCGTACCAAAGAGACCATCTTATCACAAGCAGAACTGGTTTGTTCCACTTTGGAGTAAGCTGTTGGGGGAAGAATCAGTTTTGTTGTGTGTTTCCTTGACTGATGAAGCTTTCCGGATCGAAGGTGAAATGTTTCAGCACAAAAAAAGAAACTGTCCAGATGACCTGACTGAAAAATTTTGGATTATATACCTGGATTATTGAGCATGGACTTTGTTGATCACAATATTATATTTGAGCCATATCGCCCACCCCTAAACTGCAGTAAAGTTAGGTTTACGTTGGACATTCGAGCTCCGTGGCTTCAGGAGTGCGCTACTCTTGCTCAACCCGAAACAGGCAACTCGACCCCGGCCAGCCACACTCAGTCTGCCCGTCTCTGAGGAAGGGCAGACTGAGTGCAGCTGACGGAAATCAGACTGCTTGCTTCGGATTGAACAAGAAGACACCACTGAAGCCCCGGAGCTCAAATGTTTACTGAGAAGTTTCTAAACTTCATCATAATTAATGACCAACCGCTATCAGGTGTAGAAAACGAAGGATTTCGCAGCTTGATACTTTCAGCCAAGATATAGTTTACCCTCCAGGAGGTACTTATCAGTACAACAGTAAACAATCATAATAAAAAAAAAATATATATGATTTGAAAATTACAAGAAAAGCCCTGTGATGGACTTGCGACTCGTCCAGGGTGTACCCCGCCCCTCGCACAGTGATTGCTGGACATGGGCACCGGTGACCCAAAATGGAAGAAGCGGGTTAAAGATAATGGATGGATGGAATTACAAGAAAATTATATATATTAAAAAATTTAAAAATGAAACAAAAACAGCTACATTATAAAATGATGTAAAATACTAAAAACAGGAACATGTTTGTGTTGGTTTATGCCATGAACTTAGCAGATGTTTAAAGACATTTAACATTTTACTTTATTTAATTAATTTATTCATTCATTTAAAATTAACAAAACAAATTAATCAAAAAGAAAACATTGAATCAAGAGTGCAGAAAGAAGAAAAAAATTCTTATATCTGCCCCATAATTAAAAAATTATAAAATAACTTTAAACAATCACTTAAATTGATCATTTTAATATCCACTTTAAAGCTAGGAATAAACAAAAAAAACATGTTTTGTGTTTGCAAAATTTAATTCTAACTGAAACTTATCCAACATTAATAAAACTTACCTCAAGTTGCCTTTTTAGACATGCATGCATATATTTGTACAAATTGTACTTGAGAGGAGATTATTACAGACTCATATAAAATCAATAATGATCATGATATCGGAACTGGATCGGTATTGGCAGATATTTAGATTTACGTATCGGGATCGGATCGGATGAAAAAAAAAGAAAAAAAGCGGATCGATGCATCCCTACTTCAGACATGCAAACAAATATTACTATTGTAATTTCAAACCTCAAAGCTCTTAAGATGTAAAGTGTTCAAATATTGATACCTGTACTTTGAATATTGTTACAAAGAGAATCTTGCAAACAAAGCAGTCCAGTTTGGGATCTGTTGAACTGTAAATTTTTTTAAGATGTGTGAATGCAGCAGGTTATTTAGAATACAAAACATATTTTGTCAATTATTTTTTCACTTACCATAAATGAGAATAAAAGGCTTATCGAGACAGTTTTGGTTTGGATTTTGGTCAACAATTTAGCAAAACAGCTTCCGTCAGTCACTTTGTCTCTGTTTTTATAGGAATAGCTTGTGTATACAGTGATTTTATTTATCTGCAGT